AGTCACAATTCCTGAAGAGGCAAACATACACAGTGGAAACATGGAAAAAGCAGTTGTTACATAAAACAAATGTGTCCAAATGACAAAAGGAAGTGTAAATGGAGACATATAAGAATGTTTTCAATTTGAATTGAAACTCAAGCACTGTAACTGGACATGCAACTGACTACCAGAGCAGTGAACACTGGTCAGTATCAAGCAAAGGTAACGGCCGCCACCTTCGCATTAAAGATGGCGGACGGGAAGTGTCGGTTTTGATATTTTTAGTTTTCATGGAATTTAACTACTTTATAGTTGACGCAATGCTTTGATATTTGAACCAAATCAGACTTATATGACATGGGAACTATGGAATATGATAATTTGTTCATATATCATGCGTGGGGGCCACAGTTGAAGGATATCTTCCACCGCTTAACCTAAGGGAATGTAACTGGAAATGTAAGATATGGTCATGTTAGTTTTCAATACACGGTAACAAGACATCTTAGCTCTCCATTATAAACTCTCATAACGTTACTGCATCTCTCTTATTAGTATAGTAGGAACAAGGGGTTCCCATGCACCCATAAGGTGTGAATAAGTTACATACATTTTTGTAATCCCTAGGGTGTCTATTTAATGAATTCATTTGTTAACATTGCCAACTAATGTCCCATAGTACTTTTATGGCGGCATTCAGTTACCATGGTTACGCATCTTTAGACATCTTACCTTGGTATCTTAAATCATTTGTAGCTCTGTCATTATTTGGTCTATAGAAATGATATTGGTACCAAATTAAACCTCATTAAATTTCCAATAAATTTCTGTTATTCAATTATGCAAATTATCTAATTTGCATAAATTATGACGTCATCAATCTATTTTTGGTTCAGAATTTCCAACTATAGCAACGTATCTATTAGAACTGAGGCCGTATGGCAAAATTTTTGAAAGGTTTTGTCCTTTATTCTATTAGTATAAGGTATAAGCAACATAAAAGTGAAAACAGATTCAAAATTGAATCAGTATTACGAAAGTTATGTAACTTTCAAGGCAATAATATACATACGTCTTACCTTGGAGTCTTGAATCAATGTAGCTTCGCCATTATTTGGTCTATATAGATGATTGGTATCTGATTAAACCTTATTAAATTTACTATATGGTTACAATATTCATTTATGCAAATTAGCTAATTTGCATTAATTGTGACGTCATCAATCCATTTTTGGTTCAGAATATCCTAGTATAGCAACATATCTATTAGAACTGAGGCCGTATGACAGAATGTGTTTCATAGTTTTGTCCCTTATTTGATGAGTGGAAGATATAAGCAACATTAAAGAGACAACAAATCTTCAAAATTGGATCAGAATTAACAAAATTATCCAGCTTTGGAGGCAGCTACTGTGAACGTCATTGTTTGACAATTATAAAAAGAATATTAAATTAACAAAAAAAATAACAACCATAGTTGTTTCAATCTTATTGAGTAAAAATGTGCATGTATTTGAACTAAACTAATAAGTATGTGGAAAGGTTACATGTATTTTGACTATCATTCACAGGGGTCAAAACGGTTATCTCGACCCTGTATATTAAAGATCCAATCTTATAATTTACCATGCACTTTCAATGATTCATATAAATAGTATACATATAGTCTGATTTTCATCATATTCTTCATATTCTTGATTCTTAAAGTATCTGAAGTATAAAGCATGATTAGAAGTGAAGATGATTCATCATATGGTTTATGTAATATTTCTAACATTTCAGATGCTATGGTAACATCACTTGATAATGAGGTTTTTACATTTCACGTTCTTAATGAGTTAAAAGAAAGTTATTCTCCCTTTGCTTTAGAGATAAATAGTCACATGAATTTGTTTAAAATATTATAACTTAATTTAACCCCCTCCTGACAGCCCCCATATTTGTAGATTTTGGTGAAACCTGGCAAAATACATTAATTATTAGGTTCCAGAAGCCCCCAAAAGCTATATGATGGCCCCCAGTGGCCCCAAGAATCTATACAGGGGCCCCAAGTGGCCCCCAGAAGGTATACGATGGCCCCCAGAAGCTATACAAGGGCCCACAGAAACTATACTGTGGTCTCCAGAAGCTATATGGTGGCCCTCAGAAGCTATATGATGGCCCCCAGAAGCTAATTAGTGGCCCCCAGGAGCTATACGGTGGCACCCAGAAGCTATACAGGGAACCCCAGTGGCCCCAAGAAGCTATACGATGGCCCCCAGAAGCTATACAGCAGCCCCCAGAAGCTACACAATGGCCCCCAGAATCTATATGATGGCCCCCAATGGCTCGCAGAAGCTATACAGGGCCCCCAGTAGCCCCTAGAACTAAACGATGGCCCCCAAAGCTATATGGTGGCCCATTGGGGGACACTGTATAGCTTCTGGAGGCCATCGTATAGCTTATGGGGGCTACCATATAGTTTCTGCGGGCCCTTGCATAACTTCTGGGGGCCATCGTATAGCTTCTGGGAGCCACTGGGGGCCCCTGTATAGCTTCTGGGGGCTACAGTACAGTTTCTGCAGGCCCTTGCATAGCTTCTGGGGGCCATCGTATAGCTTCTGGGAGCTACTGTGGGCCCCTGTTTAGCTTCTGGGGGCCACTATATAGCTTTCGGGGCCACTGGGGGCCACCGTATAGCTTCTAGGGGCTACTGGGGGGGCCCTTTATAGCTTCTGGGAGCCATTGGGGGCCACCATATCGATTCTGGGGGCCATTGTGTAGCTTCTGGGAACCACCATATAGCTCCTGAGGGTCACTATTTAGCTTCTTGGGGCCATCATATAGCCTATGAGGGCCACCGTATAGCTTCTAGGGGCTACTGGGGGCCCTTCACATCTTCTGGGAGCCATTGGGGCCATCCTGTAGCTTTTTGGGGCTCCTGTATAGCTTCTGGGGGCCATCGTTTAGCTTCTTGGGGCCACTGGGGTCCCCTGTATAGCTTCTGGGAGCCACCGTATAGCTCCTGGGGGCCACTGATTAGCTTCTGGAGGCCATCATATAGCTTCCCAGGGCCACTGGGGGCCACCATATAGCTTCTGGAGACCATAGTATAGTTTCTGGGGGCCCTTGTATAGCTTCTGGGGGCCATAGTATAGCTTCTGGGGGCCCCCGTATGGCTTCTGGGGGCCACCGTATAGCTTTTTAAGGCCACTGGGGGCCCCTGTATAGCTTCTGGGCGCCACCGTATAGCTCCTGGGGGCCACAGGGTTTCCTGTATAGCTTATGGGAGCCACCGTATAGCTCCTGGGGGCCACTATTCAGCTTCTGGGGCCAACATATAGCTTCTTGGGAGCACAGTGTAGCTTCTGGGGGCAACTTGGGGCCCCTGTATAGATTCTTGGGGCCACTGGGGGCCATCATATAGCTTCTGGGGGCTTCTGGAACCTAATAATTAATGTATTTTGCCAGGTTTCACCAAAATCTTCAAATATGGGGGCTGTCAGGGGGGGGGGGTTAAATTAATTAAGTTATAATTTTTCTAAACAAATTCATGCGACTATTTATCTCTAAAGCAAAGGGAGAATAACTTTCTTTTAACTCATTAAGAACGTGAAATGTAAAAACCTCATTATCAAGTGATGTTACCATAGCATCTGAAATGTTAGAAATATTACATAAACCATATGATGAATCATCTTCACTTCTAATCATGCTTTATACTTCAGATACTTTAAGAATCAAGAATATGAAGAATATGATGAAAATCAGACTATATGTATACTATTTATATGAATCATTGAAAGTGCATGGTAAATTATAAAATTGGATCTTTAATATACAGGATCGAGATAACCGTTTTAACCCCTGTGAATGATAGTCAAAATACATGTAACCTTTCCACATACTTATTAGTTCAGTTCAATACATGCACATTTTTACTCAATAAGATTGAAACAACTATGGTTGTTACTTTTTTTGTTAATTTAATATTCTTTTTATAATTGTCAAACAATGATGTTCACAGTAGCTGCCTTCAAAGCTGGATAATTTTGTTAATTCTGATCCAATTTTGAAGATTTGTTGTCTCTTTAATGTTGCTTATATCTTCCACTCATCAAATAAGGGACAAAACTATGCACACATTCTGTCATACGGCCTCAGTTCTAATAGATATGTTGCTATACTACGATATTCTGAACAAAAAATGGATTGATGACGTCACAATTAATGCAAATTAGCTAATTTGCATAAATGAATATTGTAACCATATAGTAAATTTACTCCAAGGTAAGACGTATGTATATTATTGTCAAATAATGACATTCACGATAGCTGCCTTGAAAGTTACATAACTTTCGTAATACTGATTCAATTTTGAATCTGTTTTCACTTTTATGTTGCTTATACCTTATACTAATAGAATAAAGGACAAAACCTTTCAAAGATTTTGCCATACGGCCTCAGTTCTAATAGATACGTTGCTATAGTTGGAAATTCTGAACCAAAAATAGATTGATGACGTCATAATTTATGCAAATTAGATAATTTGCATAATTGAATAACAGAAATTTATTGGAAATTTAACGAGGTTTAATTTGGTACCAATATCATTTCTATAGACCAAATAATAACAGAGCTACAAATGATTTAAGATACCAAGGTAAGATGTCTAAAGATGCGTAACCATGGTAACTGAATGCCGCCATAAAAGTACTATGGGACATTAGTTGGCAATGTTAACAAATGAATTCATTAAATAGACACCCTAGGGATTACAAAAATGTATGTAACTTATTCACACCTTATGGGTGCATGGGAACCCCTTGTTCCTACTATACTATATCAGTTATCTCATCATCTGTAAAACCAAAATCCCAGTTACCTTCCCTTAAGCAGTTGAAGGTATCCTTGAACTGTGGCGCCTACGAATTGTATATGGAGAAATGATCATACCCCAGAGTTTCCATGTCATATGAGTCGGGTTTAGTTCAAATATCAAAGCATTACGTCAACTATAAAGTAGTTTAATTCGATGAAAACTAAAAATATCGAAATCGCCACTCCCCGTCCGCCATCTTTGATGCGAATGTGACGGTCGTTACCTTCGCTTGATACTGATCAGTGAATGAATAGTATTGGCTGTATATACTTTAATAGTCTGACTGTCTCAAGTCTAGAGAGAGCTTTCACCGATATACAGGGTTGCCGATCCCAAAAAATCACAGACTTTTCCCAAGTTCATGTATTTTTTACCAAATGAGCTGTTCTTTTACTTTTCTTAGAATTCTATATAAAATACCATTGCCATTTTCTTGTCATTTTAGAGAAAATTATGAAATGCTCGATTTTTCAAATCAAAGTTTGATGTTCCTTGACTTCCCTGGCATAGCCACCCTGTTAGAACATAAAACTTCCAGGAATCAGTAACCTGATTACATATATCTACCTGTATATAAGTGATCACTCTGTGTAATGAACTCTTGTATTTTGTATATGTCACTGTCAAACTTGCCATTCACGATTACTCAAACCCTAGTCACATGACTTGAAAGATACATTCACGGGTCATTCTGGTTTAGTGGAATATTACTTGAAAGCTCCACTTTCCATCCAGAATAAAATAATTTTATAGAGTAAAAAAATATTTATTTTTCTAGTCAATTTAGGCAAACCTTGATAACCACAATCAAGCATTATAAATATGTATGTAAATATGTTATACGTCTTATTTATTGTTATATATAGTTTCTTGCAGTGCTCATAGACCCACAGTAACTACCAAGTTATCTTATTGCTACACATTCTGCTACATATTAGAATTTTTCCACAAATTTACCATTTTAGTAAATTATTAACAAAAATTTACTTATTATGTATTTTTTGTAAATTGAACACAATTGTATTTCAAATCATTACAACAAGAACTGAACATTGGTAGCCTACATTATATGAATGAAGAAGAGTAAACTGGTACACCTGTACGTGATTATGGACAAGAAAATCACATCCATAAATGACAACCAGCCTCGGTGGGCATCAATGCCCATAGTTCTTTGAGAGTGCTTTCAAATAAACTGCCAATGCATAATAAATGCCCAGTGTGTGTATTAGTGAGAAACTTAAATATGTACATGTATATTACTTAAATTATTTACTTATTTGTTAATCTTAGGCCTATATTTGTATATTTTCAAATGACAAACAGTTAACTGAAGAAATAAACTGAAACCGGTAGTGACTGTAAAACTTCTTCTGTTAAACATACTTTTTAATGAAGAAAGGAATTGATTCATGTGTGACTGCTAAATGGAGCCAGTGGCAATACTCAATGAAGGCACTGAACCACATGGCTAGTTATAATCCATTCATCCAAAGAACTTAAATCCTGCAGGACGATATGCCTTTTTCTTAGGTTTATATCTTCGTTCATCATCAGGCATTCCAAAGTAATATCTCCTGTTTATGTCTTCATTGTTAATGGCATTAAACCGTGTGGGTCTAGTGTAAACTGTAGTTTCCTTGAATTCCCCTCCCTCCTCATTTAGCTCATTATAATAGTCATCTATAGGCACTGACTTTTCTGCTGTAGGTACAACACCCTTTAGAATACTTATCTCCTGGAGTTCTACCACATCTTCAATGTTGTTATTGTCTGTTGACTCTTTGGTTGGCGTAGTAGTACCAGTGATATCCATTGATACAGTGTTTTTATCCTCCGTAGTCAAAGCAGTACTCTTTTTGAGCAGTGACTTAATAGCTTTTGCAAACTGTCTATTTTTAGTTGTAGTGCTGTCAGTCTCAATTTTGACAGTGTCTTTGGTTGTAACAATTGTCGTATCTGGTATATCTGTGGCAGTTAAAGTTGTAGGTGCCATCACAAAGTACTCTTCTGCAGCCGCAGGTATGAATGGCTTCATTGTTTGTTTTGTGGTTGTCATGGTGACACTGTTTGTTGGCTTTGATGTTGTTGTCATGTGAACAAAGTTTTCAGTGGCTGCTTCTACAGCTGGAAAGAAATATCAAGAGAATAATTGGTCTGATAGAAGGCATCTATTTTGCATGTTTTGTGAAACATACTGCCAATACATGATTTGTATAAACAATTACATTATTTGATATATAAAGATAACTAAAGAAGAAAATATATTTCTCTGAAAAATCTCAAGTACATTATACATGAGGATCAGTTCTCTCATTTGAATACCACATTTCCTAATATCAAACAGGTGAAAATATTCACTCTTTCAAAAGATATCTGTGAAGGAACAAACTAAGTGTGAAAGTCAATAAAATTATATTTACTGCAAAGAGCAGAGGCCTCATCTTTTCCATTGTCACAATCTGCATAGCCATCACATGTCATACATTGTTTAGGGCTACATGGGAAATAAAGGTCATTAGACCCACTACATGGTGAGGTGTTGCCTTCCAAAGCATCATCTGCAAAAACATGCATATGATTATAATATCTATGATTCACTGATGGGTTTGTGGTTACAATACAAACTGACATCACACAATTCAATCAATTCTCAATACCCTACTTTTTAACAGCTCTGTTTCAGTGTCTTGTTTCAAAAGTAAATGTCACCACCTGCCTTTTGTTACAGACAGCAATGGCCAGGCGCTGACTGATCCTGCCGAACACCATCCACAAAAAAAAAGTGATATTAAAAAAATGGAATATTCAAAAGTGTCTTTTTAACAGAATTCGAAGATTCAAGATTCCAGATTTCTAATCCAAAAGAAATCTCGTCTAATTCTAATAAAAAGGATGAATGGATGGATGGATGAAAGCACGGACAGACAGAAAGATTTATGGGGGAGCAATTCCATAGGCTAACATTGTAAGACATGACCTTACCTTTTGGTGCTTTTTTACATGTGTGTTTATCTGAAGTAAGGGTCTGGCCTTGGGGGCAAATGCAGAGATACTGTTGACTTCCAAGGCTCCAGATGCATTGGAAAGCACAGCCACCATTATTCTTCTTACATTCATTTTGAATATCTACAATAATAAGTAAGTATGTCATACATATTCTTCCCAATTGAAAGGTTGACACTGAACGTTAGAATATGTACATGTATTTCCAAAATAAAAAAAAGTCTACTTACACTGAAAGTCTAGATTCTTTTGTTGTATCCTAAATGGACCTAGCATTCCCTCAGTCTTTTTGAGATAGTGCTCTATCACAAAGGTAGGTTTACTAAGTAAGTGACCCTCATCTTTTGGCTTAGTGAAAAAGAGTGTATAGTCCACTACTATACTTCCTTCAGTGAAGTCTGTCACCAATACCTTCTTAAAGCTCTCAATATCTTTAAATGCAGCAGTCAGCTGGAAATTAGCAAACCATAATATGAGATAACATCAAGATTCACAAACTTCCATGGCAGTGTCTCGGGATAGATACTGCAGCAGGAAAATTGAAAAACATCCAATATAGAGTGAAAATAGTCCGCTTTTTCACCACAGACATGTTTAATTAAATTACGACACAGTATATGTATTCTATTACTTTGCTCATAGCTATCAATCATTATCTTGTCAGAATATTTCAATATTTCAAAAATCATGAAACATTAGAAGAAATCTCACAGAAGAAACATATGTTGTTATCTTCAGTCAAATAGATTAATATTAATGAGATGTCCACTCACTAGAAGCTGCATCTTTGCCTTGAGAGCCCTGTAGATGGTGGAGTTTGAATTACCCAACTGAGCAGTGTATTGATGGCTTATAATATGGACTCTACCTTTCACTGCATTGTACACTGAAATAAAACAAATAAACACACATTCATTTTTTACAAGAAATTATCAGATTACATGGGTTTTCATATACATGTACATGTTTTTTTAATGACATATGCTAGAGAAACAGCAACTCCCAAGAGAAGCATATATCACTGAACAAAATATATTTCATCAATATCTTAGTGGAATCTACATTAATAATGTGACATGAAACCGGATAATAAAGAGCGAGGGAAAGTATCGCAACAGATTTTTGACAGTAAATAATTTTTTTCTAGTAGTTTCTGGCTGTACAAAAATGAATGCATATGAAAGGCCAATGTATAATCTTTAAGAAAAATTCAAAGAATGGTTTCAAGATCAATTGGATTATCTCATAAGCCATGTTTAATCCACCCATCAACAAGCTTTTTTTCAAAATACAATCGTCATTTTCACCATCGTCCCTCATTTTTTTTTACAATTTTCATGCAAAGTTACATTGTACTTGAACAAATGTTTCATCACTTAAAATATATAAGGAACTCCTCGTGGATTAGGATTATGATAATCCAATATAAGGGGATCCAATGGGGCTATGCTTTTAGTACAGCACACTCATATAAGATGTCATTAGTGTGCCATAAAGTTAGTTCAAAATGTTTTCATAAATGAATGGTTGGACTTGTTTGATCCCCTGCTGTTTGATCCCCTGTTTAATCAATGGAGCATAACCGCAGCATTTCCCAAAAAATTCTGAATACCTGTCAAGTTGACTGTTTAATGTTTGAGTGCAGTTAAACCTGTGTGTGTGTGTAAGTTGCTAAGAAATTCTAAATACCTCTCTTTATGATAATTTCTATGATGCCTTATTATTGCATTTACTTCGAACAGGTTTTCTGTATCTTGTTTATCAGTAATGATTCACGAGGTACAGTGCTATTAAAATCATAAATACAGTACAAGAATTTAGTACATCATACCTTTGCCAATAATTTCAGTAAGACAAATATTTTGATCCAGCTTCTGAAAAAACATTGAACATGTTTCTATATGATGATGTGTTATAACACACTTCCTTATTTGAGTTTATCTCCAGATTGATTATTCAAATAATGAAATGAAGGATGATATGCTAAGAATAATTTTTGCATATTCATCAATTCAAGAAATGTTATCCTAAGAAAATGTTATGAGTAACATACACTCTTACCTTAATGTTAACATTAGGTAGATTAAGCTTGCATATAAAATCGAAACGCCAACCTATGACCAATCGCCCATACAAATGCATCGCTAAATATTTTCCATTCACATTTAGGTTGTGAAAAACATTGCAAGCTTAAAGTCCCTATTGAGAGTCTCTGAAAACCACAATCAAAACCATTGAGTGTGTGGTGTATACTACCTTTATCATTAGACTCCAGATGTAAATCTGGAGTCTATTGTTTTCGTCAGTATTCTTATTATTAGACTCCAGATGAAAATCTGGAGTCTATTGCTTTTGCCAGTTTTCTTATTATTAGACTCCAGATTGAAAATCTGGAGTCTATTGCTTTTGCCAGTTTTCTTATTATTATTATTCTCTCTTGTCACGTTTTCTCAGTAACTAGAAGACTTGGAGTAAATCTACTTACATGGTCAGTTAGGGTATGTGACCTAGTTTCTGGGAAATTAGGTCAAATTTTTATCTAGGTCAAAGGTCAAAATCTAGGTCAAATTATCATTTTGTCAATTATCTTTGTCATTTTTCGATATTTTTTCAAAATTTTTTTTTCAACGTGTAGCCGAGAAAAAGACGATTCGACTGTGAGTAATCAATTTTTTGATTACTTTTACCGATTTTGAGATATTGCGTCCGGAAAGTAGGTCAAACGAAAAAGTTCTCCGAATTCAACGTATGAGTTATGAAATAAGTGTAAAATTTCCTCAGGAATCCAAATCTGCAAACCAAATTTCAATCTGACTTCCGGTTCGGAAGCTATAGCGTTTTGAAATTGCTAAATTTGGTGCCCATGTAAAGCCAATGGGAAAAAAGACTTTTTCGAAGTGTAAAATACAAGATATAGACTGAGCACAGCTTAACATAATGAATGTCCATAAAAGAAGGGGACCTCAAAAGCTACCTAGCTTCAAAATTTGGACACCAAAATGCCTAGGTCAAAATCTAGGTCAAATTCATAGTTTTTCCTTATTTTTGCGATTCTGGCACTACACTTTTAGGATTTGCTTCAAAATTTTGTATACAGGTAGCAAAGAGTGTGCTAATAGTGAGAGCCTTTTGCCGTCAGAAAGTATTTTGACCCACTTTTGAGATATGGTGTCCGTAAAGTAGGTCAAAATAAAAATTTCTCATAATTTAACTTATGAGTTATGAATTAAGGGTGGAATTTTCTCAGGAATCCGAATCTGCAAACCAAATTTCAATCCGACTTTTCGTTGGGAAGTTATGGCGTTTTGAAAGCTCAAAAATCGCTAATTTTGGTGCCCCATGTTATGTCAATGAGAAAAAAGATTTTTTTGAAGTGTAAAATACCAGATAAAGACTGAGTACAGCTTAAGATTCTGAAAGTCTATAAAAGAAGTGGACCTCGAAGGCTATCTAGCTTTAAAATTTGGACACCAAAATCCCTAGGTCAAAATCTAGGTCAAATACATAGTTTTTCCTTATTTTTGCGATTCTGGCACTACACTTTTAGGATTTGCTTCAAAATTTTGTATACAGGTAGCAAAGAGTGGGCTAATAGTGTTATCCTTTTGCCGTCAGAGAGTATTTTGACCCACTTTTGAGATATGGTGTCCGAAATGTAGGTCAAAATAAAAAATTCTCCAAATTTTACATATGAGTTATGAATTAAAAGTAGAATTTTCTCAGGAATCCGAATCTGCAAACCAAATTTCGATCCGACTACCGGTTCCAAAGTTATGGCGTGTCCGAAAAGTAGGTCAAAATAAAAATTCGCCAAATTTAACGTATGAGTTATGAATAAGGGGTAGAATTTTGTCAGGAATCCGAATCTTTAAATCAAATTTCGATTCGACTTCCGGTTTGAAAGTTATAGCGTTTTGAAATTTCGAGAAAAATCGATCTGATGTTATCCTGATAGAAAGTCAAGGAAAAAAGATTTTTTTGAAGTGTAAAATACGAGATATAGATTGAGTACAGCTTAAGATAATGAATTCCTATAAAAGAAGGGGACCTCAAAAGCTACCTAGTTTCAATATTTGGACACCAAAATGCCTAGGTCAAAATCTAGGTCAAATTCATAGTTTTTCCTTATTTTTGCGATTCTGGCACTACACTTTTAGGATTTGCTTCAAAATTTTGTATACAGGTAGCAAAGAGTGTGCTAATAGTGTTAGCCTTTTGCCGTCAGAGAGTATTTTGACCCACTTTTGAGATATGGTGTCCGAAAAGTAGGTCAAAATAAAAGTTCTCCGAATTTAGCATATGAGTTATGAAATAAGGATAGAATTTTCTGAGGAATCAGAATCTGCAAACCAAATTTCGATCCGACTTTCTGTTTGAAAGTTATAGCGTTTTGAAAGCTCAAAAATTGCTAAATTTGGTGCCCCATGTTATGTCAATAGGGAAAAAGATTTTTTTTTTGAAGTCTAAAATACCAGATATAGACTGAGTACAGCTTAACATTCTGAAAGCCTTTAAAAAAAGGGGGCATCGAAGGCTATCTAGCTTTAAAATTTGGACACCAAAATGCCAAGGTCAAAATCTAGGGCAAATTCATAATTTTCCTTATTTTTGCGATTCTGACATTACACTTTAATGATTTGCTTCGAAATTTTGTATACAGGTAGCAAAGAGTGTGCTTATAGTGATAGCCTTTTGCCGTCAGAAAGTATTTTGACCCACTTTTGAGATATGGTGTCCAAAAAGTAGGTCAAAATAAAAAAATCTCCAAATTTAATGTATGAGTTATGAATTAAGGGTAGAATTTTCCCAGGAGTCCGAATCTTTAAACCAAAATACAATCTAACTTCTGGTTAGATAGTTATAGCGGTTTGAAGTCTCGAAAAGTCGATATGATGATATCCCCATGTTAAGCCAATGGAGTCGAAGATAAAAAAAATGGAGAGTTGTCTAAATGTCTAAATTCTAGCTGACTCGATCAGCTTATTCTGGATGACTCAGCTTACAAGTATTCTGGATGACTCAGCTTAAAAAAAGAATTAAATCTGGAGTCTTAAATTGAACTTGTTCAATTTACATGTCTAGTTATTCATTCTTTCTTTCTTTCTTTCTTTCCGAACACTTTTTCTCAGCAACTAGAAAAACTTACTTTAACCTACTTACATGGCTAACATAGCCCATCAACCTAGTTTCTGGGAAATTAGGTCAAATTTTTATCTAGGTCAAAGGTCAAGAACTAGGTCAAATTTAGTTCAAATCAACATTCTGTCAATTATCTTCGTTGTTACTTGTGGTAACTCCTTCATCTTTTTTTCAACATGTAGCTTAGAAAAAAACAAATCGAGAGTGTGCCATCCGTTTTTTGATTACTCTTACCGATTTTGAGATATGGCGTCCGGAAAGTAGGTCAAACTAAAAAGTTAACCAAATTTAACATATGAGCTATGAAATAAGTGTAGAATTTTCTCAGGAATCTGAATCTGCAAACCAAATTTCGATCCGACTTCCGGTTCGGAAGTTAAGGCGTTTTGAAAACTCAAAAATCGCTAAATTTGGTGCCCATGTTAAGTCAATGGGAAAAAAGATTTTTTTGAAGTGAAAAATACGGAATATAGACTGAGTTCAGCTTCACATAATCAAAGCCTTTAAAAGAAGGGGACCTCAAAAGCCATCTAGCTTCAAAATTTGGACACCAAAATGCCTAGGTCAAAATCTAGGTCAAATTCATAGGTTTTCCTTATTTTTCGATTCTGACACTACACTTTAATTATATTCTTCGAAATTGTGTATACATGTAGCCAAGAGTGTGCTAATAGCGTTAGCCTTTTGCCGTCAGAAAGTATTTTGACCCACTTTTGAGATATGGTGTCCGAAATATAGGTCAAAATA